TTTTTTTATTATAATTTAATAATTTATAAGTTATTGTTATTAATATTAAGAAGAACCCTTTATATTTCAACTTTTTAACCCTTAACTAGTACTTTATAAATAAAAATATAATTAAAGCTAAGATTATATATTAGCTTTAACTAAAAGCAATAACCCGAGTTATCGACCTCGGAAAGTTCCAGTATACACCCTCTTCGGCAAAACTCTTCCGGCGACACCTATTATCCTCAGCCTGGAGCCTGCTCTTGCACGCTCACGGAACAAGCCAGAAAGTGGCGGGGGGGGGGGGGGGGGGGGGGGGGGGTGGTCAAGCCGGTGGCTGCAGCCCAGAGTCTTGTATGGTCCCGTTGACATGATGTATCCAGAAATAGAACCGGGGGATGAGAAGAGTAAAAGGTAATATGGGCGATCGGGGCCTCAAATATCCACGCTTCACAATCCAAGATAACATTGACTTGCGTCGAACCGAAGCAATAGCATCTTGTTGGCTTATTTGATGCAGCCAGTTCCTAAATTGAGTGTTGCCTATTTTCTTGCAGTTGGCGCCACCAACTAGTTTCGTTCGTGGCACGAAAGGCGTATATAATTTACACAATCGTTAAACGCCCTCTTCGCCAAGGCAGAATCAGGTAATGGAAGGGTAGTTTTGCCCATCTCTTGGCCAAATTTCCAAAGTAAATAAATGGAGCTTTCACACACCCAAAACATGAGAGCACTCGGGTTTGATTTCTTTCACATATTTGGCACTTGTATCCCCTTTCGCCATGTCTTTCACCAGCCATCAAGATATTCACCTCCGTGTTAGCAGCATCGAGGACGCCCAACTATTCTGCAAGCCAGCGAAGATCAAGCGCAAACCGCTGGCTTCTCAACTTGCTCTACCCGTCGTCATACCGCGCGTGTGCGGAGACCCGTCGCAGTACAAATGCGTCGGCAAGCCCTTCACACGATGCTATGCGCCGGCCCTGGGAGCGTTTGGCATCCCCCAAGCCCAATTCATCGCCTTCATCGACGCGCTCAACGTCCACAAGCGAGGCAGCAAGGCCTTCACGTACATTGCCCAGGCCGGGAGCGCCATCAAGCTCGTTGGGCACTTGGATCCCTCGGGCTTCACCAGACTTGCCGGCGCACTGGTCCAACTAGCTGGCACGGCGGCCTTCTGGGGTTCCGTCTCTGGCCCAACCTCGCGCAAGGTCGGCTACCTCAAGGAGATGAACGAAACGCTCTTCAACCCCGTGGGCTTGACCGCCAGAATCGTCAACTCGAAAGAGCTGCGGCATCTGCTGAGCCTCGCCCCCGATGCGGATCTGCTGGCTCCGCTGCACCCGATGTTTGCCGTCCCGAACAGGGATGACTTGAGGGGAGGCAAGCGTTCCGCCTACACGGTTCCCGAGCGTCAGCTTCTGGCTCTATCCGGCAGGGTGAGCCCCGTCGAGCAGTGCGGTGTTCGGCACAAGCATGCCAAGGATATCAAAGACTGCAGGGAGCGCGCCATCTGGAAGTGGCACGTTGGATCGGAAGTCTTTATGGAGGAAGCTCGTGGCAAGGCACTGCACAAACTCCACCAGGTGCCTGGTGCGACGACGCAGAAGAAGAGAGAATCTCTCATGAGATCTGTGCACAAGACTGATAAGGAGGTCGCTGCTACTGAGAAACTCGTGTGGTTGGTGGTGCAGAACACGCGTGAAGTGCAAAAAGTATCCAGGCCTTCCGACTAGTTCTGACCACTTGGATGCCAAGTTCTGGGCAATGGATATGAACTGTGGTTATGGTTCATCTTGGTTGACCACGCCAAGGTTTCAGGTAGCATCGTCAATTGTGAAAGTTCAATGTTGCATGTTCAAATACCATCACTTTATTCGTCATCTCGCCAACTATCGCGAGAAGTATACCAAATTCGTGTCAACTGCGAAATATAAAAGTCTCAACTTGTCGCGTATGAGATGTGCTAAGACGCCATCCAAGAAAGCCGGGCATTTCGACACCTAGATTTAGTAAAACCTCGCAAGTTTTGCTCAAGCTTTTCACAAACTTTGTGGTATTTATAACACATTCGGCATGAACCCTTCCGTCATCATTCAAGTTTAAACTGGGTGTGAAATGAATCCAAGTGTCGACGGTATTTAGCTCTGTCTTGGGGGTATTTTCCTCGCAACCCCTGCATATCTGCAAACAGACGTATCTAATAAGCAAGTCAACACCAAGGCAACATTCTCCTACACGCTATTTAAGGGTTGAATAGTGGACAGCTGACGGTGTAACCGCCCAGCACAAGCAAGTCTGCAAGCAAAGCGGAAATTAAATGATTCCCTACATATGTAGGCATTCATAACGCATCATAGTTCGTAATCGCTGGGTCATATTTCCTAAGCAGTTTCTTTTCTTCAACACCATCGGCTGTTTCATTTAATCGTTTCCCTTGTTGTATCTGCCAAGGATTACAAGTGCTCACGTAGTAATAAAGCAGCGCTCGTAAATGAAACGCAAGTGCTCGAGTGCGGCGTTTCTCACTTGCCATGCCCCGATAGTACAGTCCTTTCTTTGACCCCAAGTCGCTGCTTAGCGTTCGTTACCCAAGGCTTTCCTGCTAGCAGACATATTCACCAACTTCCATGACTAGGGCCTTGTCCCTGTCAGCCTACTGTATGACTCCCTGCTTGTCCGTCGTGTACATATTTGGCGACTCTGTCCAAGATGTGCAAATGTCCAAGTGGTCAAACTCAAAGGTAAAACGACTTTACATTTGGTCAACATCTACGGGATAACCACCAAGTCGAGCTACCAGGTGACCTATTTCGCTTTTGAACAATTCTTCGTCAGGGGCTTCACGCGCTCCCTTATGCTCTGCGTGTACTCGGTCGCAGGCGCATCATAATCAGTAATGTACACCGACACAGAAACCCTCCCACTCTCCAAAACATACGTCTCGCCGGGAAGCCGACAGTCACCATTCACACACGCATTCAGACCCGCCGAGTACGGCTTGATATTGGCCCAATGAAAGACGCCCGTGGCTGGATCCCAAACGGCCTCATTGATGTGCGCGTTTCCAGTCATGCGTGTCTGGACAATCTCGGGATCCGTATTATTCGCCGTGAGAAGGGGAATGTTGACGGTCAAGCCGTAGCCCAGAGGAAGCAGGGGGCTGCCGTCGGGAGCGCTACTGATGATTTGCTCAATGACCTTTACCGAGACCTTGGCCGTCCATGTGGCCTCGTTGGTTTCGTTTTTGATGTCGAAATAGGCAATCTTTTTATTACTCCCCGCAATGGCGATGCTTGGCACGGATCGCTCCGTTGCGGCGTAGCTGAAGTGGAGGTGAGCAATGTGACACAGTGCCGTTGAAGAAACGACTTACGATGCGCCGGCGGTTCCTGACAGGGTCCAAACAAATGGACCGAGATTGGCTCCGAAATTCGGTCCCGTCACGATGAGGTCGGGGACGTTGAAGGGCGCGTATCGGGGAAGAACGTAGTCTAGCGCAACAAACGTACACGCGGCGGGTGTTCCGTTGTAGTACCAGATTTGGGAATCGTGAGGGTCGGTGCCGACCTGAGACGTCAGTGATGGGAAAAGGTGACTCCCAAGGGCTCACATGACGTACTGAAGGGGCGCCCGCGGGAATAATGTCGTATTGTGACGGCCCAGTCAGGTTGCCGTGTTCTGTGAAGGATGAACGGCCGCCTTGGCTGCTCTGTTCGGTGGCCGGCGCAACAATCCAGACTGGCTTTTGTGAGCTACACATGATAGTTGCCGGTGGCTTTGCCATACTGACCGTCGTGACCGGCCGTTTTCAACAAGCGGTACACCTCGCGCAGATTCCCTGATGCAAACCCGTCGTCATTGTTGAGGAGAATGTTGATTGCCTGCGACGAAGATGCAAAGCCCAGCGTCAAGCCCGCCAGCAAAGTTGAGAAGCGCATGACGAGGCCTGGCAGCGGATAGGAAGCTGCTGGAGTAAAGGGCAAGCCGTTCTGCTGGTTGAAGTCGTCTAGCAAGTCGAATGGTGCACGACAGCCATGGGACAGCAACTGGCGGGCGTATTATTGACAAATAGTCGGGAGCCTCGGCCACAAGCAAAGAGTTGGACTGCTAAGCCGGGAATGCACGAAGCTCTTTCTGGTCAACTGGCAAGCCATCTCTTCCAACAAGACTTTGCTTTGGAGCCCGAACCATGGAGCATCAGCCCGTCCCTGGCGCTGCGCATGGTCTGCCTTGCAGACACGGCATGGATATGAAGCTCCCATTGGATCAAGCACAATCTACAGATGACCAGCCACATGCGAGATGGATCGGCGCCGGAGCTCACCGCGGGGTGGCGGATATTGGACCAAAAACGACAAGGAGTCGCGTGCCCGTGGAGTCGTGGACATTTCGGGAGGAAGAGCGATGATTGATGCGTGAAGCGATTGAGCAAGCTGTCGAATTTCGTTGGCTGCGGAATGGCTTGTGGAGGTTCCTCTGCCTCATAATTCTCTTACATAAGCCAGTCTCCGCAAGCCGGTCCACAGCCAAAGAGATGGGGATACTTGTGCCGTCACGAGAAAAAATGTAGGCCAACAGCGTCACCAACAAAACGTCACAATTTGCAGATCAGTGGGCGATGTCGGCCATCAATCTTTTCCACAGCCCCACACGCTGCCCGTCATCGCCATGGATCGATCAAGAGTTGTTTAAATAGTTTGCGTCGACTTCTGTTCCGCTCCCAGAGCGCATGCCCACCAACCACACAACCCTCGCCATGAGTGAACGCGAGCCCGAATCAAGAGAGCTCAGCTTCGTCAGCCGCGAGCGCGGCCCGGCCCACGACGACGACGACGACGACATGCTACAAAACGGCCGCTCGTTGCCGCCCACCGACCGCGGGCGAGGCGCCTACGTGAGCCTCGCGTGCTGCACCGTGGCCCAGGTTCCGATATGGGGTCAGCTTCGACCAAGCTTCCGTCGCGGGAATGGCGATTAACACTCGGCAGGGTATTCCGTGTCGTACGGTATTTTCCAGGAGTACTACAGCAGCTCCAAGAGCGGCATTGCCGGCTCGCCCGGGTCGTTTGCCACGATTGGCACGTCGCAAATGGGCATCATGTACCTGATGATGCCGGTGGCCTTCCTCCTCCTTCACCGGCACCCCCGTCTGCGCCGGTGGTGCGGCCCGCTGGGCCTGCTCGTCACCGTCGTGTCGCTGGTGTCGTCGGCGTTTGTCGACTCGGTGGGCGGGCTCATTGCCACGCAGGGCGTGCTCTACGCCGTTGGGTGCGGGCTGCTCTTCAGCCCCATCTCCATGTACATGGACGAGTGGTTTGTGCAGCGCAAGGGCATGGCCTACGGCGTCATGTGGAGCGGCAAGGCGGCCGTTGGTGTCGCCATGCCCTTTGTCTTCAGCGCGCTGCTGGACCGGTTCGGCCTGAGGGCGACGCTGCTCTCGTGGACGGTGGCATCGGTGGTCTTGACGTGCCCGCTGCTGTTCTTCCTGAAGCCGCGTGTGCCGCTGCCGCCTTCGACCCAGGCCCGCCCTCTGTCCTTTGAGTTCCTGCGCCGTGCGCCCTTCTGGATGATGCAGCTCGGCATCGCTATCCAGGCTCTTGGCTACATCATGCCGAGCACCTACATGGCCACCTACGCGTCTAATATTGGACTGTCGTCGGTCAGCGGGCCGATTCTCGTCGCCTTGTTCTCGTTTGCGTCCATCCCCGGCGCCGTGGTCCACGGCGTTCTCGGCGACAGAATATCGGCCACGGCGGTCATTCTCATCTCGTCGTTTGGGAGTGCCGTACCCGTCTTTCTGCTCTGGGGACTCAGTCGTCACTTCGCCAACATGATTGTGTTTGTTTTAGTCTATGGCTTCTTTGCGGGGGGCTTCAGCAGTACGTGGTCTTCCATGATGAGGGAGATCAAGCGAGACGACTCGTCTTCGGATACGGCCGTCATTTTCGGCATGCTTCTTGGCGGAAGAGGTGTCGGTTTCGTGCTCGGGGGGCCTGTCAGTGGTGCCTTGACGACAGCACGAGGTGCCTTGTCCGAGGAATCCTTGGGCTATGCCACCATATACGGGCCTATGATCTTGTGCACGGGAATCACGGCGATTCTGGGTGCTTGGGGCTCGTACTGGAAATTGCTTAACAAGGCCGCCTCCCAGGGCTTCTCAGAATGTCTGCCTATTCGACATCCCTGAGACTGAACTTGAGGCAATGCAAGAAGCAAAGGGTTTTAGTTATGTTGGCGTATATACATAGAAGAAGACACTGGCTAGAGTTGTAGTGTTCTTGTGACTATACTAGCCTGGCAAGAACGGCTGTGTGTCGGCCATTGCTTCACCTGATTGGGAAAAATACACGATGGATAGAGCATTACTTGGGGTCGAGTTGGCGGATGAAGTCCTGTAGAACAGGTAAAAGCGATTTGCAAGGTTTTCTCGGCAACACGGAAAGACAGCAGAAAGTGGACATGGTTGCCGAGGCTGGTTGATAGCTCATCCGGCGATAATGAACCCGAATGCCCGTACGCCGCCCTCACTTATACCGAAAACTGAAACGCCTACAAATCGGGCATGCAGTGCGCACCATCCTTGTCGTCCCTCGCCATGAAGCTTCCAGAACGGCGCAGTAATGCTCATCTACAAGATTGTAGGAACCCTCACATGCACTACGAGCAGGGGGTTGAACTTCTTTTCCCTCATGCCCGACCTGGCACGGTCCTCGTTTATGACGCTCGCGATCGGCGCCGGACACAACCGGCAATACCTTCACTGCGATGCCATGTGTCTGACCGACTGTAGATTTCGCCAGATGACAAACAATTACCTACTGGGCAACCGCCAAGGAGTAAATCCAGTCAGGGTTCAACTCATACCTAGACAAGAAATGCTGTGGATTGACCGCATCTTGGGACGATTCGGATCCGAAACGTCTTGATGGCAGGCGGCTTGTTCTCCCGCAACGCCGTGGCTTGCCTCAGCGCCAACATCTGGTGCCGTGTAGGACGGCCACGGGCTGCTTCTCCACCGGATAATTGTGGCGTTGACAAGAATGAAACCTCGAATGTTCAGCTGCCTTGGACACGGCGCCATCTAGTTACCTCCCGCAAGCTGCCTAGTCTTGCCTATCCACCATTGCTCACGTTTGGCGGAACTGGCCGAGAAAGGGTCCCCCGGCTAAAAGATACCAAAAGCAAGCAGGCTTGCTATTCTGGACACCGAGTTAAAGCCCGATGTTGTTGTACACCGCTACGCCCATCGACCGGGGCGGCATCTTGGCACGGAAACTGCGGCAAAAGCCATGGATTTGTCTTGTCTCTATTTAATTCGTTTTTATTGGAAGTCCCTAGCGCTCTGTTGCGGACTTTGCAGACGAATTGCCACATCTCATCGCCCCTAATCTATGTTGTGAACATAGCATTCGCCGAGCTTGGAGGATGCTTCGATCGAACGCAGATGTAACCCCCCGCCCCGCTCTGAACTTCAACTCGAAAACCACAAAAAGTTACGCCAGTCGGTAAGATGGAGAGACAATCATCCGTCTGGTGTCCTCTTTGACTGAGGGGGGCTTGGGCGACAATAACCTGCCGATGGTTGGCGATACAAGTATTTACCAGCGCCATACCTAACCCAATTGGACCCATCTCGACGTTGATGTAAATCTACAGATGGCATGAGATGACAGTGGTTTTGATATCTTGTCGTTCTGAAGAATCCAAAGTGAATTCTTCTTGCTTTCATACATCGGCCATCATGGTTGCTCAGGGTCCACGGAGCACCAGCGTTGCCACAACGGATCGCGGATCGCAGATCCCTTCCATTATGACGAAAAGGCTAAACAAAAATGGCGCCCTCCATGTTAGATTGTTTCTACTATTTTCGCAGGGGATGTGCCTGCCGGCGATGTTGCCATCAGGCCAATCGAGCATCCCGGCAGCTGAGGCAGAAGCACACGGGGGTAAATCAAGCCGTCTCAGGCGTCAAAGACACTTTCGACGCAGGTCATTCCCATTCTGTATCGCGCGGCATGTCAACTCTAATCCACCGCCAAACTTCCCCTTGAAGGACCGCACAATTAGGCGGTAGAAACAGCTTGTCTGACGCCACAGCAAGCAAGTGGTTGGATTCACGAGTTCCAAGCGTTCAAAGTATATAAGTTGCGAATGCTCTCCTTTCAATGGCTTCAGATTGGCAAGCAGGTCAGATCCAAAGCCCTCCACCATCATGAAGTCAGTTGCTTTCTTCGCGGTCCTCGCCTCCATGGCCAACCTTGCCACGGCCACGGTTGCCGGCTTCGACATTTCCCACTACCAGCCCAACGTGGACTTTAAGAAGGCGTACGCCGACGGCGCCCGGTTCGTCATTATCAAGGTACGACGCTCACAGCCTCACGGCCCAACTATACCAGACCACGCAAAACCCGTCTAACACGACCAAATGGCAGGCCACCGAGGGCACAACGTACATCGACCCGTCCTTCAGCTCGCACTACACGGGCGCAACGCAGGCTGGCCTCATCCGCGGCGGCTACCACTTCGCGCATCCGGGATCGGGGTCGGGCGCCGCGCAGGCAACCTACTTCCTCGCCCACGGCGGCGGTTGGTCCCGGGACGGCATCACGCTGCCCGGCATGGTCGACCTCGAGTATAACCCAAGCGGGAGCACCTGCTATGGGCTCTCGGCCAGCGCCATGGTCAGCTGGATCTCCGACTTTGTCGAGACGTACCGCTCCAAGACGGGCGTCTACCCGCTCATCTACACGTCGACGAGCTGGTGGAACCAGTGCACCGGCAGCAGCACCGCCTTTGGCAGCAAGTGCCCTCTTGTTGTGGCTCGCTATGCTACCTCTGTCGGCACCTTGCCTGCCGGCTGGAGCTATCAGACCATTTGGCAGAATAGCGACAAGGCGCCTTGGGGCGGCGACAATGACATCTTCAACGGCAACCTCGACCAGCTGAAGCGCATTGCGAATGCTTCCTAAGTTTCGGGGGTGAGTTACCTTGTGTCACTGAGAATATGTTGCGGTAGCGAAAAGTCTTGCGAAATGATGTAAATTGTCTCTTGAGTTTGTGCAATGATTCAGCAAGGGGGGTTGCGTGTCAAGATGCCAATACTTCTGTTACACTCTGAATGTACTCGACGGTGTGATGGCTGGTGCGATTTGCAAGATGGTACATATACTGTGAATACATGTATTTTTCTCATTCCGGTTCTATGGTGACTGGAACGATGCAAACGTGTTGAACCCCCAACCGCTTACACCTCTGCCGAGTTGCCCATCGGCAACTCGCTCCATAACGCCAAGTATTTTCTACCCAACACCAAACTACAATTATATTTGAACCAAAATAAGTCTCATTCCTATTCTGAACCCATTCTTCAAGTCATCGTAACATATTGAACCTGCCGCACCACCTGCACCAACTCGGCAACTCGCTCCACCTCACCCGGAATCTTATAACCGGCGGCGCCAACCATCAGCCATCGTCACAACTTCTCAACAGCACAACTCATCAGCTCAATTCAGAACCAAATACACCCCAAACCAACTCCACAGACATATAACCCCCCCGAAAAACACGCCAAAATGCGCCCTTCCGCGCTCCGGCGCATCACGCCCCCCAAACGAGCATACACAACACCATCACCATCACCATCACCAACATCAGCATCCGCCGCCGCAGCCCGCCTCCTGGAAACCTTCCACGGCAAAACCCTCATCCAGCACCAGGTCCTCGACGCAAACCAGCTCCAAAAGCTCTCCCTAACACTCAACCGCCCGACAATCCACGCCCAAAACATCCTCACCTCCCCGCCGGCCCCGGGCACGCCCATCCCCCCCGGCCACCACCTCGTCTACTTCACACCAGGCGGCCTCGAAAGCGCCCTCGGCCCCGACGGCACGGACCGGACCTTCAACGCCCCCGCCCCCTTCACGCGGCGCATGTGGGCAGGCGGGCACATGTCCTGGACCGCCTCGCCCCTACGCGTAGGCGACCCCGTCTCCGAGCACACGCGGCTCCTCAGCGCCGCCGCCAAGACGAGCAAGTCCAGCGGCGACGAAATGGTCCTCGTCGAAGTGGAAAAGGAGCTCCGGGGCCCGCGCGGCGCCGGCCTCGTCGACACGCGCTCGTGGATCTTCAGAACCGACATCCGCGTCGGCTCGCCGCCGGAACCGCTCCCTCCCGCGCAGGCATCCCTGCCTACCGCGATAACCGACATCCCCGGCCAGAGAGGTGAGTACCCCCCCCCCTAAAAAACGACGAGGTGTCGTTGCTAATGGACAGGCTTCCCCGCGCGGCAGCTCACCTGGTCGGCCGTTGGGCTGTTTCGCTTCTCGGCACTCACTTTCAACGGGCACAAGATCCACTACGACGCAGGATGGAGCCGCGGCGTCGAGGGCCACGCCGGCGTCGTGGTCCACGGGCCGCTGAACCTGATCAACATGCTCGACTACTGGGGCGACGTCCACGGCGCCGGCACGGCGCCGGCGAGCGTTGCGTACCGTGCCGTGGCTCCCCTCTACGCGGGGGACACGTATACCATCCAGACGGGGGACGTGAGAGACGGCGTGTACGACGTCGTGGCCGACAAGGACGGGACGGTGTGTATGAAGGCGCAGATTGTGGCTACATCACATGGTCCATAGATAGCATGTTTGAGCTCTCGAGTCATAATATTAAGCTTCGTGTGCAAACTTGTGGTGCCTCTATCAAACCAAAGGAAAGAAGAAAAAAAAATAGAAAAAACACATGCTGATCCATCCAGTTCCGAACCATTGCTTCCATCTTTTATACAAGTAATATTATCAATCCAAACGCGGCTCCTCACTCCGTCTTGGGCACGGCAGACGTGCTGGTGACCACGGAGAACTGGCCGCCCGCAGCAGCACCCACGAGCTTTCTGCCCTTAATGTCCTTGCCCCGAATGCGCTGGGCGGTATTTGAGTCATCCTCGTTGCCTAGGCCGAGCTGGCCGACGGATCCAAACCCGGTGGCATAGCCTACGCCCTCGTTGTTGATGAAAATGGTGTGGTCGGTCCCGCAGGCAACGTCGACGACATTGCCCATCTCGGGGACAACAGTAGGCCGCAGGCAAATGCGGGGTTTGTTGTACTCGTCGCGGCGGACGAGGTGCTCGTCGTCGAGCTGGCTTTGTGAGAAGTCAATGCCCAGCTGGCCGCCATCAAGACGCCCCCACATGTAGACCTTGCCGTCCTCGGTGACAGCTCCAGAGTGGTGGGTGCCGCCGGCCATGGATACAACGCCCTTGCCGCAGAGGTCGCGAATCTTCATGGGGTACGGCAGGATGGCTTCGTCGCCGCCAGCTTCCTTGGCGTATCCGGCCTCGCCGAAACTGTTCAGACCCCATGCCCAAACGTTGTCCTTGCGATCGACAGCAAAGGAGTGGTACTCGCCAGAGGCAATGTACTTGATGGGGCGGGTGCACACTCGAACCTGGCGAGGCAGCAGAGTCTCCTGCTGGTATCGACCAAACGGCTGTCGGCCAAGCTGGTTCTGCTCGTATGATCCCCATCCCCAAACCTGGCCCGACTTGTCGAGGGCCAGCGCATGATTGGCACCGCAAGCAATCTGTATGACATTTTCAAGCTCTGGAATCAGAATGGGGTCATTCTGAATCTCGACAACCTTGTCGTTCTGGGTCTTTGTGAATCGTCTGTCTCCTTTGTTATCCTAATGAGGGGTGTCAATAAACTATGCCATTAGATGCGGTTCAGAGGATGTCGGTGTCACCTACTCGGAATGATCCCCATCCGTAGACGCTTCCAGTCTGGGTAAGCACGAAGCTGCAGCTATCACCGGCGGCAACCTGGGTGAAGACGGTGCCCTTGGGGAAATTCTTGGAAGGAACCTCGGTTGGGGTACACTCGTGTGGATTCAACTCGCCGTCTTCGTCGCCGCTGTCGGATTCGGCGTCCATGTCCTTGAGGCCACCCTCCCAAGTAGTGTCTCTTCCCAGAGCTCCCTCATCGTTGACGCCCCAAGTCAGGATCTTGTTATCAGCGGTGAGAGCAATGGTGTGCATGCCGCCGCATGCAAGCTGAACGATGTGATATTTGGAAGCCTCATTGGGGTCCAGAGCCGGGTTGAACTTGGGAACGAGTGCAGCTGTGCGCTTTGGGCCGAGACCAAGCTCGCCACACTCGCCGCTGCCGAACGAAAAGACAGCAATAAGCTCAGTAGGTGCTTTATTGAGAGCGGCCGGCTCTTCAATGACGGGCTTCTCCTTCTTGACGGGCTTCTTGGCCACAGGCTTGACATGTTTTCGTTCTGTGGGAGCTTCGTTCTTTGTAGTTTTTCTACGGCGCGCAGCATCGTCTTCATCTTCCTCTGCGACGCGCTTTCGCTTAGTCGGCTTGGGATCTGGTTCATTGTGTGTCTTTCCATTAACCACTTTTTATTAAAATGTTAGAATTCAAGTCGTGGAATGGTTGTCTGATATGCCGGCTCGCGTCGAGATGGGCTCGAGGACTGACCTGGTTCGCTAGTGTTTTTCTTTGCGACAGTCGCCCGTTTGGCGGGCTTAGCTGGTTCTTTTTTTGTGACGGTAGCCTTAGTAGGATTTTCCTTTCGAGAAGTGCTGGTAAGCTTTTTTGACGCCATGATGACGGCTTTTGCGGATTGTTTTGAGAAAACGTATGGTGTTTCGGGACTGGTCGCGTAGCAAGTAAATCAACCTTATGAGCTCGAAGCTGGAAAAAATTCGGCTTAGTCAGCAGGCATTCAATCTGCAAGGCTCAGGCACAAACGGCATAAACACGGACGAGCCGATTGAGTTGGATTGGCCCACAATGATTGGTGGACTGCGGATCAGGTTCGGTGTTGCCTGATCCTGGGCATGGCTGACCCACAACTGAAGATCTTCTGACGATTCAACATCGACCGCGCAATTTTGTTTGTTGTTGATCAGGAGCTGCGGGTAGGACAGGCCATCATGGCGCCATATTGTCTCACAGGGGGCAATTTACATGATTACTTAGAATAGAGGGTCCATTGAAAGAAAATGATAGAAGAAGAAAGGGGAAGGGTCAGAAGCTCTCTAAACGCCGGATTTCCGGTCCAGATACGTCACGTGATGCATCTCAATATGCTTCATCACCACAGACAGCATCCTAAAGTCCCAGCTGGGGGCCTTTACACTACACAGACGGCCATACAGTATCGAGGTATATCTGTTTTAATCATTTCAACGTCAACGTCCTTCTGTGGCCGCTTCAACCCATCCTCCCCACATATCCATCACATCAAACTCATGAAAGGGGGACGTATAAGGAGTTCCCGTCATATTTTACAGTGGGCCAAAAATCCCTGCGCAAATTAAACATACAAATGTGCCTATTCCTCAATTGCATTCAAAGTAGCCGCAGTTCAGCACCGCCAGCAATACAATACGATTTACAAAAGCCTCGGCACCCGGTTATAAGCATCGCCAACTCCAGCTACCCCAGACCAAAATGGGTCATGATGCTCCACCCAAGTAGCCGATCTCCACAAAGCTGTGTCGAATGCCACTCTGAGTGCCTCAAGATCCGATGGTGCATCTCGGCCGACTAGAAATGGAGTGCATACTAGCGAAGCTATAACTTATGATTGAATAGTATTCTCAAATCGATCATTTCCTCCCCGCGTCCACTCTGGAAGGCTTCCGTCTCAAGGCCCGGTCGGTCAGGAACGACGAAGCATGTCTAGCTTGAGATTCTCGCAGATCCTCTGGAAGGCCGCTCCAAGAGCAAGTCGTGTCACTCGTTTGGTGTTTGTACTCGTACTGACTCTGCGTAGCTCACTTGCAAGGAGCAGGTTCGGCAGATAAGCTTGCACGAGTATCAGTCGCAAAACATTCTGAGACAGGTGGGAACTTCCATCTCGTAACTTCTCGTGAGTCTGAACTGACGGGAGCAGTATGGCGTCCCTGTTCCTCGCGGCCGAACCGTGAAAACGGCCAGTGAGGCCCGCATTGCAGCACAAGAGCTGGGTAACTGCACTTCCAGACTACGGATGCTCACTTCAAAGTGCTGACATCGCAGGCCCGGCATGCATCATCAAAGCCCAGGTCTTGGGTCGTGGACGAGCCGCCGGCAAGTTCGACAATGGCCTCAAAAGCGGCATCCAAGCCGTTTCCACCCCGGACCAAGCCGAGCACGTGGCATCCAAAATGCTCAACCAGAGACTTCTCACAAAGGACAATGGCACCGACGGCCATGTCGTGGAGAAGCTCTTCGTCGCCGAGGCAGCAACTTACGATTCTCAATGGTACCTCGCCATGACGATTGATCGGGAAAACTACCAGCCCGCCATCATTGTCTCCAAAGAGGGTGGGGTTGAACTCGATGTTCTCATTAGCGAACGGCCTGACAGCCTGTTTACCTTTGGCTTTGGCATATCGGAGGGCATCACCAATGCCTTGGTGCAAGACATCCAGCAGCGTCTGGGCACGACAGACCAAGAAACGGCAAACTTGACTCATATCCTAACCCAACTGTACAGCATCTTCCGAGACCGAGAAGCCACTCATCTTGAAATCAACCCTTTGGGACGATCACTCGACGGTTCCTTCACCAGCTTAAACGCCAATTTCAAATTTGACAAGGCCGCCGAACAAAGGCAGGAAGAAGTCTCTGCGCTGCGCGACAAGGCGCAAGAAGTCCCCGACGAAGTGGAAGCCGAAAAACACGGCCTAGTGTACGTCAGAATGGACGGAAACATTGGCAACGTCGTCAACGGCGCGGGTTTAGCCATGGCCACCAACGACGCCATTGGGTTCCACGGCGGAGCGAGCGCCAACTTTCTAGACGCAGGTGGAAAGGCGACCAAAGATACCATGATCCAGGCGTTCCGGATCATTACGCGCGATGAGAGAGTCAAGGCCATTCTGGTCAACATTTACGGCGGTACGTACGTGATCGGACGATGGTCAATGGGTAAACTGACAGGTGGGCGGGTAGGCATCACGCAATGTGACATGATTGCCGAGTCAATTATCGGCGCAACGAGCGAGTTGGACATCCAAGTACCCATGGTTGTGCGGCTGCAGGGCACAAATTCCGAAAAGGGATTGAAGATGGTGAGTGTCTATGATGAAGTCAAGATTGAGGTTCGGACAAGCGCTGACAAGGCCGTTAGCTCGAGGATGCAAATCTGGGGCTGGTCGTGGAGTCGGACTTTGGGCAGGCGGCGAAGCGGGCGGTTGAACTTGCAGTGTCGAGATAGAGTCTGATCAATAGATTTAGATGGTGACTCGGTGTGTGTTGGGCTCTGGAGGACTGGGAAATCGTGCATGAGACGGTCAGGAACGGGCAGGTTCAATATGGGAAGTTGGAAAATTCTTGGCCAGCATCGCCAGCCAGGAGGATACGTATGGCGTCAATTGCACCAGACAGTCAAGTTGCTTCGTCAAAGCGCCTCCAGCCAACCAGAATCTTTGACAGCTTGTCGGTCCGGCGACCACGTCCACTAAGCGCTGCCACCCGTCGCCCCGCCTCGGCCATGCACCAGTTGACCCTTGCTGCAGGAGATGCGCCACGCTTAGCCCTGGAGCCCCGCTATTTCGGGGGAGCGCGGGCGGCGCACATTCAGCCAGTCGTTCAATGTTGACTTCATACTTATTGGGCATGGCTGTGCACGTTTGGAAGTTCCAGTGGCCATGTCGACTTGACTCAATATATTTATTTGACTGCTCATCCGCATCTTGCACTGTTCACTCTAGACTCCCACGTTCCATTTCCTATTTCTGGTTCCGTCTTCACTCACCCGGTCTCTGTTCTCTCGCATTCATCGTTTCCTTCATAAAATGGCCAGCACCGAAAAAGACGCCGAAACCATCGCCTTTGCGCGAACGCTCTCCAACACCCCCTGGTGCGAAGACTACGAAAAAATGATATCAGGAGTCCTGTATGGCCAACACCACTCTATCTGCAGCCCCCTACCATATAAACCACAGCCTCACTAATACCGCCCAGGTACGATGCCCAGGCAAAAGAACTTGTAGACGGCCGCTTCCGCGCAAGACGCCTCATGCACAAGTACAACAACCACTTCCCCGACGACGCCACCCCAGACTCCCTCCTTGCAGACCGCGAGGCCATGCTGCAGTCAACTTTTGGGAAAGTCGGCAAGGGGGCTTTTATCGAGCCACCCATCAACATCGACTACGGCTGCAACATTACCATTGGAGAGAACTTTTACTCCAACTTCAAGTACCTCGCCTCTCGCCGGCACCCTTGGCTTCATGGGCTAACTTTCTTGCAACAGTCTTGTCATTTTGGATTGTGGCATCGTCAAGATTGGCAACAGGGTGCAGTTTGGTCCCTTTGTATCTATTTTCGCCGCCACTCATGAGACGGGCGTGCAATCGCGCCGCGATGGCGTCGAGTATGCGAAGAGTGTCAGCATTGGCGATGACTGCTGGATCGGCGGGAACACAACCATCATGCCGGGCGTGACTATCGGCAAGGGCTGTACGATTGGCGCCGGGAGCGTCGTGACAAAGTCGATTCCAGATTTTTCGGTGGCAATCGGCACGCCGGCCCGGGTTGTGAAGACGGTTGACCCCGTGCCGGACTTGTGAGGTTGGCATCAAGCGTGGCATATAGACACCCTTCAAGGACTACCTACATAGGTAGGTATATATACACGACTCATATTAACGTGTTCTCAAGCTTCTCATGATTTTCTCCGTTTTATCAATTACCCAAGGACACTTTCCACTTGCACCAGCGCCATTGCAACCACAGCAACCCAACTATTTCCAAACTAAACATTTTACGCCTCGTATATGCAATATCCATAAAAGTTTTTCAAAATATAAAACGCTCAATTTTAATTTGTTTCATTCCCTTTTCGTCTCGACACGCGGAAAGCAGAGCCAGATCCCCAGCATGACGGCCAGCAATGCCAGCACAATCGGCTGCAGAACCATGGGACCCTTTGCCTGCGCAAGAATACCCGTCAGAAACGGCAACACGGCCGCACCGCACCCTCCAAACGCGGCGGCAAATCCGATGACCACGACATGATGCTGGCGTGGTAGCAGCTTTTGAGCCACGAGAACTGCGTTGGGGAACATTGGGCCCAAGAAGAAGCCTTGGAAAGCGACTGCCACTACAGATACGTAGAATTGCGGTACGAGCCAAAAGATGAGTTCGAGAGCGCCCGCGGCAACAATGTAGAGCTACCAATATGAGAGCATGTCCATGCAAAACAGGGGGGACGCAGAAACTCACAGCAGTAGATAGTTTGACGCCAACCCGGGGCGTGACGAAGCCAAGAACGGCGCGGCCAGCAGTGATTCCCAGCCAGAAACCAACAGCAGACATGCCGCTGGCAAAAGCCTCGCCGTGGCGAACGCGGATCATAAAGATGACGATCCATCCACCAAGAGCGACTTCAACACCCACATAGCACAATAGGAAAGCCGCAGTCACCCACGTCACACGCGCAGATGGCGTGCAAAAAAGCGCCTCACTGAGGCCCATCCTGTTCGACTCACTGCTATGAATGCGGCGGTACTCTGCTCCCGAAGACGACCAAAAAGCAGAGGCTAGAACAACCATCTCCACGCCAGCCATGCCAATCTACACAATGCATTAGCCCGCCCCTTTCTCTCCGACGCCACCATCTCCAGGAACATACCATGATGTAGTAGAATGAGTACCACCCCAGATTCGCCTTGGTAATGAGCGTCGTGGCGATTGTCGGGCTCACGGCGCCGCCGACGCCGTAGCAGGCGTGCAGCAGGCCCAGCACCTCGCTCGAGTTGGCGAGATTGCCAACCCACGCGTTCCACGCAGCGTCCGCCACGCCGTTGCCGAACCCGGCGAGGATGAAGGCGAACACGAGCACAATGTACGGCGGGTGCAGCGCGATGATGGTGTACGCGGCCGCGTGGCAGGCGCCGCAGATGACGGCGATGCCGCGCTGCCCGACCCTGTGGTGGAGGTAGTTGTTGAGGATGGCCGAGCAGACGTAGCCCACAAAGGGGGACAGGAAGACGAGCGACACCACAATATACGTGAGGCCGTAGTATTTCTCGAGCTGCAAGAGCGCGTCAGCTTGACCCCGGCGCGGGTGAACAAACCGCCCAGGACACATACATAGGGGAGGAGAGGCTACGCGCGGTCAGCAACAGAACGTCTTGCAGCAAGGATAGCAGACTTACGCCGTAGGCCGAGTCGTTGGCCCCCATGACCAGAAAGGAAAAGAAACACGCCGCCATGCGGTATACATGCGTCCGCGACTCGTTCCAGCGCTCCGCCGCAGGGACAGCCGGGTGCGGACACGGCTCGCTGCCCCCGTTGGCACCTACGAGACATGACGAGCCGGAGGCTGCGTCGGGACGGACATTGGGCTGCTTGATGTCTTGTTTTGCGGGAGCCGGCTCAATGGGCATGGGCATTTGTTCCAGCTCGATGGCTGAAATAGTCGTCGTTGCGGACATGGCTGCGTCTTTGTTCTCTTGCTTATCCTGCGTGATGTCGTGCCGGCGGCGAATGGAACCGATACAGATGGCCGTATTTAAAGAGATGAAATTGAACCCGTCGGCGCCTTACGTTGCCGCCATGTGGCAGGTTCACGATCGGCGAGCGTGGTTTGTAATGATGTGGATCGGCGGATGACTCAAGCACGACGTCGAAGGCGTGCCAAACTACTTTCTTGTTCCAGCTCCGTTTGGATATTGCATCACTTTTGAGCTCCGTAGAAGGAGATCTACAGGCGTTCCAAGGACCGGCATCTCGGACCGTCCACCCAGCCCTACAGTATGCTCGACCGCCTCGGCAGGCAAAGGAACGTCGAAACCCACTGAACAAGGTATCCGGACCCAAAATTTGAATACCGGACTAGAAGGAAAAGTTCCATGATCACCCGATACATATTCCCCGCAATAAGGTAAAGGGGTGCGGAGGTTCCGCATTTGGGGCACCGGGGAGCGTCGCAGATACCGTTCCTAGCTCGCCGAGCATAGCCACCATTGTTTTGCGGAGCGCACTGGGGTATTTATTAAAAATCAGGGCTGGTCGAGGCCGGGGCTAGTGTTGTCTTTTCTGGGGAGGCATTACGGGTGCTTGCTGCTCATAGGGCACGGAGAAAATATCAGGATAAATTGCCAGTCGTGTGATGTAATGCCGCTTGGCCACCGAGTTGTTTTGAGCTCGTATCCTTTCGCTTTGTGAGGCCGTTGGCTAGAGCGGACCCTTGGCGCTTCATGCGCATAAGACTCGAGCGGAAATTGCTGCTCTTGATGTCAAAATTTACGCGTAAAAGAGACTGGGTTGGAACGTGTCTTGACGCGCAGGTATGCTAAATGTAAAAGCAAACAGCAAACAGGGTGATGATAAATGAATCGTAGTAGAAGAATGATTTTTATACATTTGGGATATGATGTGTATATGCCCTCGTATATTTGGAAAATGCTTGTCCAAAGTTGAACTCCAAACACACGGTATTGTAGGTCAGCGGCTAAGTGGCATTGTCCGTGAACCCCATCTCTGAAATATTGACCCGACATAAACGCTCGGCCGTGACCGGGTCTAGAGCCTGATGCAGGTGGATTTCTTTTTGGGAACTTCAAGTAACATCTCCGAGTCTTCATGTGTAACGCTTGAATGGTAGCACTATAAGCCGGCAGTATCCTGGATGGAGCGAGGACAGCTATTTGGCCTTGCTGTCAGTTCAAGCCAAGACGTATCAGCTACGTGTCAACAACGCTTGGAAAGGCAAGCTCATGCTAGTTCATCTTGAGTTCAACTTACAATAGAAATCGTATAGAACTCTTCCTTGCTAAGCCATAAAAACGGGTGCCTGGAGGGCCTGCCAAAGTGCAATGCCGAGCATGTAATTCCGGCTGAATCATGTTCCAGAATCAAGCCAGGGATTGCCTACCAGTTCCGAGGCTGTTGCGCGTTCTTTCTTAAAAATACACGCTGGGATCTCGCTTGCTAAGCTTCGGACTTGGAATACCAAGTCATTACGTATAAATGTACTTGAAGAGAATAGTAGACACCACCCGAAGCCCATTCACCTAAACTCGCCTTCTCTAGTGAGGAACGGGTCACTAAAATAGTAAGCCGCACCGCTGCTGAATAGGCCATTTGGGTTTATCGTGGCAGGAGACCACCTCCAATGTCGCATGCGTCCTTCACGCCCGACTAGAAAAGGAGGGATATCGCCCAAAAGAGCTGTTATGTCTGCTATATGCTGAGCAGGAGACTACTATGGTGAAAGGCCAAAGTCAGTAATATGTGGTATCAAGTTCCGGGCAGCTTTTAGAGCCGGTCTAAAGCTATTATGGCAGTGGTAAATAGCAAATAATTAACATGATTACGTGCCACGGGGTGGTTGCCATGGCCCTGGATGAAATTGTCGATGGTTGACTAGTCTTCTAGTACAATCATGATGCTGTCGAGCTTCGCGTCTAGCAGATCAGCAGAATACATTTCTGCAGCAGCGGGCACAAACCAATGTGTATTGCATGGGCTTGAATTTGTATGTAGTCTAATCCTTGAAGCAGAATTCGAATATAGGTCTTAAAAGGGGCAGTGGCTTAAGGTAGTTTTGTCTTGCTAGGCAATTCGCTTTCTGAATAACCATAACGGCTGCCGCAAGGGTGTAACTGCAAGTGTAAGATGCCGGCACGTCTCCCCGTGGCGAGCTAATCTTGGCGCTTATAGCTGTATCGAGGACACGACGCTCTTGATGCTTACTATTTGTTACAACCAAATAAATGTTTATATTCTCGTTCGTGGCATCGTAATTACAAGTTTTTAAGGTAGCATATCGCTTCCGACTCAGACACCTATGTCGAAAACAATATTAGCGATAAAAAATGTAAGCAGTTAGATGAGATGACAAATCTTAATAGAAAATACCTGCTAGTATCCCGTGCCAACTACACTGTAAATGTTAATTCCCAGCCAATTTTTATATTTAGTTAATATTTTGAGGAGAATATCACTAGGGTTTACTGGATAATAATCGTAAAATTACAGCCAGGTATTTTCTCCTCGAGAATAGGAGTTTCAGGGTGGAACATATCGGGCGATAGAGTAGCTTGAGAGACGAAAGATCGACTCTAGCACATTCTAAAATCAGCCGACAAAAAGCATCCGGAATAAATGTTGTTACAGGTGCCGTGATAGTGAGATCGAGAAGGAATAGTATGCCCACTGCGCGAACGGCATGGATGCGTAAGCAGCCGAGGCTTCTTGGTAGCTTTTGGCGCAGCTTCTAACGGAAAACACGGAAGCAATAACGAGTAATGTCGTGATGTCGGTGCGGCGTTAACGTCAACGTGGCTGCCTTGGGCGCGGTTCGGAATTGCAACCAATAGAAATATGGTCCGAATCCCGAGGTGCACGGGGCCCCGGTGTGGCTGAACAGCGGCACTTGCCCGAATATCCCTAAATCCCGGCCTATGAGTGGTTCTTGACATGTTAATATTGACAGCTGACTCGTCAAATTTGTCTGGTCGCGAAAAGCGTGAAAAGCAAGAAATAAACACAGCAAATAGTATAAGTAAGTATATTATAATTAATTAATAATTTCCCTTTCTGCCTGTAAAATTACCTTCTTTATTTCTTGTTATGTGACTAGACCTGAAGAATATCGTCAATAGTATTACCCCTACTGGTAATACTAATTAGCCAGTGTAAAGACACTGGGATCATGTTTCTTTCGCAGCTAGTAGAAGAATTCTGTTACGCTAACATGCTTCCCAGGAAGGTTTTGCCTGTGTTTATGCTTGGGCAAACTTGTTTGTTCTAGAACACACCCTGGGCGCCACAGCTAAGCCGAATATGGCTCAAGTTAAAAGTAGACTTTTGAATTGAGATTCCCGTGCCACGGTCCCCCTTCTTTGGTTGCATGCGAGCATCTCCAATTTACAAGGTATATATTTGGAGTGGAGACTACTACTACACACGGAAATTGTAAAAATCTTCGTCCCCACCTGAATAACGCAATGCGGACATGGCGTCTTGTATAACACTAAATTTGTAATAAATTTAATGGCTGAATAATACGAGTGGCGTTATATTAACCTTTAACATATATGGAATCAATTAATACTCACATGAAGCAACGCGAGAGACACTGGATTATTTGTAGTTATTATATATATTACTCTCTTTATTGGACTTCTGTTTAATGCCTTGAACTTGAATAAAGTAAATTCTGCCCCAAATTAATTTATTTTATACCTACACAATTCACATTATGGTTCGAAGTCTCCTGTTGTTGACAGTTCTGAGCCTCACGGCAGGACTGTCGGTGGCGAGGAGGTGTCAGAACATCACGATACCCATTTCAATCTCATCTCGCAACGGTATCTTTAGTCTTGCCACTCCGGCCAATGACGTAGACGTCACCGACTTTGTGTTGAACAACTATCGAGCCGGTGTTAACTACACGGACGATGTGCTACAAGGCGTTAGTAAACTATACAGTTATTATCTATGTTATACATTTACTAATACTAAGCTACAACAGTACAAAACGATCGAAGCCAACTACAATCTTGCAGCAACATACTGTACTCCAGAATCTGGACACGGCAAATCGCTTCAAGTGCTGACGCATGGCGTTGGTATTAATCGCCATTACTGGGACTTCTCGTACAACAATTACAACTACAGCTATGTCGACCGTGCCCTTGCGCAGGGCTATTCGACTCTTATATATGACCGTCTTGGCATCGGCGAATCGTCCCGCGGTGACCCCATTCAGGAGCTTCAGGCCTCGCTCGAGGTCTCGGCTCTGCATCAGTTGACCAAACTGCTTCGCCAGTCCAAGGTGCCCGGGATAAAGACTAAATTCGACAAAATCTTTCATGTTGGCCATAGTTTCGGCTCCATATTAACGTATGGTCTCACAACAAAGTACCCCGAGGATTCGGATGGGATTGTCCTCACAGGGTTCAGCATCGATGAAACCTTCTTCGCGTGGTTCGGCTACGCTTCCAATTGGGTCGTGGCAAACACCAATCCGGCCTTTAAGCAGTTTCCTAATGGCTACGTTGCTCTGGGGACTGCTCAAGCCTTTCAGGCAGTGGCATTTGCCCCATCCAACTTCGACCTCGCCCTTCCGGCTGCAGCAAACTCGATCGCGCAGCCTATTCCTATTGGTGAAATTCTCACCATAGGTAGCCCACAAGAAGTCTCGAATCCTTTCAAGGGCCCGGTTCTTGTTGTAGATGGGGGTAAGATGACCTTGGCAATGCTATTAGGGTTATTACTAACGTTTTTGTTAGATCGAGACCTGATATTTTGTGGAGGGAATTGTTCGTCTTCTACGCCATCGGCCGCAGAGCTAGTCCGGCCAAAATTCACCAAAGTAACCGACTTTGAGGCTGTGATTGTTCCTCAGACAGGGCATCTGCTAAACTTTGTAAGTTTATACTAGGCTTTGTCGGGGGTAAAAGCTAACTCCGAACCAGGAATATAGCCATCCTACTGCATATAGTGCTATTATCGATTTTCTTAACAGACATGTCTAAGATAGCTCTATTCGTTGGAATCTAGTGGTGAAGCTACTGGGTTCTAACAGTTAGCGCAGCTTATTGCAACAGGCTGAGCCCAATGTTATGGGATAAGCCTGCCTGTGTTAGTTGAACAAGCAGGCTTGGCGTAGTTGCTGGATGTCATAAAATTGCTAATATTAATAGTTTGAGAGGCTGGCCAGGCTGGGGAGTTTCTCGAATTAAAGATAAATGACACCAACGCTGCTGTCAATATACTTAGCTTGGACTGTTACACTTGTAAATAAAACTGCCTCTGTTAGTGAATAGCTTTCTCTGGAGAACTCTTGTTGCATATTCTTCCCGAGCGCGCCCCTGTGGCGCCGTATCTTGTTGATGTTGATCCAGACATGGAGCGCTTATACTCGCCTCTCGCTGTCATGGGCTGCAAGTTTAGTGGGAGATTTCAGTCACTAACCTTATTGAAGGGGAAATTCGGACTGGCTTGATGTCTTGTCAAGTTGATCTAACCAGGGTTGGCCGAACACTCTCTGCTTGCGCATCCCGCGGAGCTAGACGGCAGGTTCCATTCCATCATTGCCACCTACAGCTATCCCTCTGATAACTTGCCATGGCCAATACTCGTGTAAACGAGCACCAAGCTCGAGAGCCCAGGTGCAAGCGCTTGGATAACCAAGGCGCTGAGAAACCTAGTAGCCCCGTCAATCCTAAGAGACAGCTCTTCAAGCCGTGCCTTCAATACCGCAGCCGACAAGAAGCATTCTAGAGATGTAGCAGCTCAACAATGGCTACTGAGTGTAGTTGTGTCTAGCAGTGGCGTCGCTCAGTCGGTGTCGTCTCGTCTGGTAGGCTCAGCCAGCACTCTAAATAGACAGGGACTAGAGAAATCTAAACTCCTTACGCTGGAGGTTTGGTAAATTTTTCAGCCCTCTTCTCTAGAGTTAGGAACTTAACATCCAATATATGTACACTTCAATTCCTCTATTCCTGCCAATGGATTGGGGAATCGCACCTAGGTAACTCGTGGTGTGACAAGGGTTCAGTTATAAAGGCTTAGAGCGATAAAAGGCTTAATTTAATAATAATCTTATAAAATATTAAAGGTTTTAAGTTATTATAAGAAAAAAAAAAAAGGTAATTATCTTATATATATAAAAGAAATATTTAAGCCTAGGATTTTTACTTAAATATATATTTTAATTATATAATT